CACACACACACACACACACACACACACACACACACACACACACACACGGAAATGGGGCTGGACCAAGCTCCATCCATTATGTTGCAGATTTTGGCTTCTCAATACATCTCACCAAAAGCAGGCCCTGCCAACAGTGAGGTGGGGCTGCTTTGCATCTCCCAGGCCCCCAGAGCTTGGAAAACATTGTGGAAGAGAGTTGACTGCAGCCCCTCCTTTCCTGACAGCCACTGCTGCTGCTCAGGCCTTCCTTGGGCTCCTTCTCAAGGCAAGAGAGTGAGGAAGGAGTAGAAAAGTCTCCTTCAGAGATGTAAGGCTGACATTTCCCAGGCTCCAACCCAACCCGTGTGCTCAGCACCCTGCAGACAGCCCACATGTGATCATGGGGTAGAAACAGCCAGTGTGGCCTTCCAGAAGGGTGTGGAAGAAATGGTTCAGGACCAAGAACAGGAATGGGGTGGGTAGAGGTGACACCACTTGACTGCTTGACTGGCTGTGTGTGAGGCCAGGAACTCCCTCCTAGCAGAAAGAGCTCTGTAAACAAAGTGAGCAGGCCCTAGTGCTTCCAGGAACCATGCTTGGGAGATGGGGTACAGCCAGACTGTCTTTGGTAGTAGAGCTAGCACCAGCCTTGGGCACAGCCCTTCTCTTCAGAACATGACTTCTCTCATGGAACAAATGCCAGGCATTTTCCTACCACTCACAGGCTTGCAAAGAAGCCTTGATTCCTTTTCCTCTTAGCTTCCTCACACCAGGAGGCAGCCTGGGGTCTGTGTCTTGACCTGAAGATTCTGCACTGGAACTAAAGTTATTTGCCAGTTTCCTGACACCTTTCCTCTTGTGTTTCCTGAATAATCTTATGAGTTTCTTACAACACCCCCACCTCCCAGAAGGGGAGATAGTAGGAGCCCTCAGGCTGGGAGACTTTCACAAGATTCCACGTAGAGGGCAGCTGGGACCTCAGGGAACCTTCCCCATTCCCTGTCCTCCACTAGATAAGTAACCAGCAAACCCTACCACCACCACCACCACCCCGCCACAGACACATATCATGCCTATCTCTGGGGTAGTAGCTAGACTGCAGGCACAGGCGGTACTCAGTACTAGAACAGAGGAAGATGTCTCAGTAAATTCAAGGAGGTTTGGTCTGTTCCCTTTGAGGCTTCTCTGAAGGGACATTATTCATACATCCTTCCAGCCACTGCCAAATATTTAATGAGCATCTACTGAGGGTCATGCACACTCCCAGCTGCTGCAACGTATGCATGACTAAAAAGAGAAGGCTGTTTTGTTCTTGTGGCGACTGTGTTTGTGAGGGAGAGTTGGCAGCAAATTCCAGCAAGAAGAGGAGCTGATGAGGCTATGCCCCAAATCATGGGGCTCGGCAGGAGGCTTGGGCAAGCTGGGGAGCAGGAGATGGCTGCCAGGTGAAAGAGGTGGTCAAGGAGGTGCTCTACTAAAGGTGACACCTGAGCAGAAATGTGGGGGAAGAGAGATGGTTGTCCAGGGGCGGGTCCAGGATCCTAATGAAAAGCTCCAGGGGCAGGGATGGGCTTAGGGTGAGGCTCAGGGAACTTTTGGGGTATGCTTATGCAAAGGCAGAGGAAGCGTTCTTAAAAGGGAGGAGATGAGGCACAGGAGTGAGGGCAGGGCCCCTCAACCCTGGCTTTGATCTGAGAGGCAGAGCTAACACTTCCTAGGTCTGATCCACATGCTAAGCAGGCCACTCCAGGTTCTGGGCTGGGCTAAGTGGGAAGGAAGGAAGGATGCTGGGACATGTGCTAGCTGACTCTTGTCCTAATCTTCCAG